TTTGCCAACTCAATGAGAGAACACCATAAAAAGAATCCAGTCTGGTGTGTTGTTGATACATCGAGACCCCTTCCTCCTCTCTTGGTTGCCAGATTGGAGCAAATGAAGCAAATAATTCAGCCATTACTTTCAATGATTTTTTTTTTAACATCCCTGAAGACACTGCTATCCTTCCAATATGCTGCTACTGACTCTGGTGTAGGATCCACCATCAATCATCAGGGCAGTAAGTACGAAATTCTGGAGCCTCCAGCCTACATAGCTATTTGGAGCCTCCAGCCTACATAGCTATTAACAATCCTCTTCTTTCTCACCAAGCCTGTGTATTCATAAGAACTCTGGGACTTAGGGTGCCTGGGTGACTCAGTCAGTTGAGCATCTGACTTGATTTTGGCTCAGGTTGTGATCTCAGGGTCGTGAGAGCGAGCCCTGCGACTGCGACGTGCTCTGTGTTGGCCGTGAGTCTGCTTGGGATTCTCTCTCTCTCTCTCTCTCCCCCTCCCCACCCCTCTCTCTAAAAAAAAAAGAACTCTGGGACTGAAGGAGGTGGGGCAGAGCAAAGCTAGCTGACTGGGGAAGGAGGCGGGGAGAAGGTTTCTTGCCTCAACTTAGATTCTGTCTTCAGCTATGGGGTTGTAACAGTGCAATGGCCGGGTGTTCTAGACTCACACTGGGTCAGTGAATAACTGGGAGCTTGTGAGGGCCAGGAAGAGACTATGTCCCTATGCTTTTAAGTTGTCGGAAGTGCCGTGAGGGCTCTCCCAGTGGCAGAAACTCCCCGTTACCTTGGCTCACCACTATCTAAGGCACAGCCAGAAGTACAAGAGGACGTGGCTCCACAGAACGAGGTTTCATGCGTAAAAATGGGGGGAACACATAGTGAAGGATGAAAGAAACTCAAGTGAAGAGTTCTTTAAAGTGCCACTTGCAATTCCCCAGGCTCCTTAAATAAGAGCCTTTTGGGGTCACATGCTATCGAAATGCAACTGCCTTGCGCTGTCTTTCTAAAAAGATTTGAACTCTTTTTCCAACAAAGGAATATCTACTGTTTTTACACTTAATCAACTATAATGAAGGAATATGAAGAGCTGTCATGTGCTTATTAGGGAAAATTATCAGATATTCTTTTATATGATGAAGTAACACACTGAGCTGATAATTCTATAGTGCACACTAAATTACAATTAAAGGCCTTTCTGCTCCACCAGAATCTCATTTATAATCTCTATGGAAATATTCTTCCTGCAGTTATTTCATTTATGCTTCCTTTATCTAATTACTATAATATTGGTTCTGAATCATATTTTCCTAATATACCCTTATTCAATTAGAAAGTTATTTTCAAGTACAGTTACTTTCTAATATCAAAGAATACCACTTGGCCATCTCTGTCATTTGTCACGCTTCTTAAGTGCAGATTTTTCCCCCTGAGCCATTTTCCCCCCTCCGCTTTTAAGTAGGGTGAAACTTCTATAAATCAAAATCTATTGAATTATCCTCTTTTTTCCCCAAAATAATAGCCTGAAATGAATGTCCTGATCATGAGATGTACAAGATTAGACATTCCACATTTTGTGTACCTGTAATACATCTTCCTGTTTGGCTGGGTTTCAAGAAAAGCATACAGAGAAGAAATACTCTTGGACCCCCAAATGTCTTGTGTTTTAATTTTCAGAAACACGTTTGTTCTAAAGGGCTATTTCTGACTTGGTTCTCTTAGCTTGGAGTAGTCAAGTTAAGAATATGGACACATGAGAATACTGAGCCAATACAATATTAGCCTCTTTAAGACAGTTTCTTAAAGGTAAGAGGCACAAAGCTTCCAGAAGTGACATTGTAGTTTGGCACTCTACAAATCCGTAAGTGTGATTCCCCTGAAAAGGGACTGTACGGATCCTTGTGGATGGGTGTCTGCACTTGAGAAGCCCAGTAGCCAGTCCACGAAGACTTGGTTCCCTCTACCAGCTGGGCTCACCAGGGAGACAGACCCATTGAACAAAATTTTCACTGGTCAGAATTTAATAAGCTTAGTGAACAGGATATGTCTCCATGTGAGTGCGTTTCCTAAAGATCTAAGTGACCAAAGGATGGAATGACTGGTCTCCAAGTTATCAACTTAAAATAATCCCTTAAGAAGATCCAGAGCAGTGTGTAGTTATCATAAACAACTTAGACTGCAGCCGTGTTTCAGGAATCAAATTTAGCAAACAACCACTAAACTAAAAAGAGGGAAAGTGTTTTCTATTGAAGAGTGTTGCTACTTATTTCAAATTTTCCAACCAGCAAAAATGAAACTGTAAATAACTCCTCTCATTCTTCTTCCCTTATAAAATGCTCTGCTGGTTAAATAACTCATTCAAATGAGTGATAGTCTCTCTGATTTGTGGTTTTTACAGGGCAGTAAGTAATTGGATTTCTTGATGACCAGGATCCCCTATGTGATCTACTGGCTGGGCTAACCACAGTCCTCTGGGCCTCTAGGGAAGGAGGCCACAGGGCCAGCAGCCAGCTCCCCACCTCTTCTGTCCACAAGATGCCATGCTCACTCTGGCCTGGACCTGCTCTCAAATGGTCCCAAGGTTTCCAGAATTTAAAAAGAAAGGTCTTTCACACAAAGAAGTTGGGGCAAAGTTTTGGTCTTTCTCTAAGACCCTGTTCTCTGATAATGAGCTGCCCAACCTAGCCTAGCCATGGCTTTAGTACTTTATGTTCTTCATTTCATTTATCATGTCTCTTTTGTTTTGAGAAATCAAGCCAGCAATAGTTTTTGTAAGAGAAGGGGGTAAATTACATCATTAAATGTATATTAATTATAAAATTACACGTTTCAGAATCAAGGAAACAAATTTAATCACCAGACCAGTCCTATGAGCCCAGTCATTATGCCCTTTTTCTCATGAGGTCACTGCAAGGTTAAGTAACTTGTCCGAGGCCGCACAACTAGTGAAGGAGAGTCAGAAGTCCAGTCTCGAGCTGTGTATTTAGACCACATTGCACCGCACCTTTTGATACCTAGCTGTCCTTTCTTTTTCACCTAGATTGGGCCAGCTAGTGGCCTTTCGTCTTGGCCTTGTCAAGGGCCACTCCCCCGACTGCAGCCAGAGGGGACTTTTCTCCAACCCCCAGCACGTTCTTTCACCTCTGAGCCCTTGTACCCATAAGAAGGTTTCCCTCTCCTTCCTAGCTTCTTCTTTACCTGGATAAATACTTATTGGCCCAGGACTCAGCTTAACTACATCCTTTTGAGAAAGCTTTTTCCTCATTCCCTTATATCCTAGACCAGTGCTTTTCAAAATATTTTGACCTATAATGAGAAATACATTTTACATCATGAGCATATATACATATGTGCATGTGTATGGTTTTCATTTCATTTTATTTTTTGAAGTGTGTAATTCAGGGGTGCCTGGCCAGCTAAGTTGGAAGAGCGTGCGACCCTTGATCTCGGCGTTGTGAGTTCGAGCCCCACGTGGGGTGTAGAGATGACTTAAATAAATAAAACTTAAAAAAAATAAATAGGAGCACCTGGGTGGCTCAGTCAGTTGAGCGACTGACTCTTGGTTTCAGCTCAGGTCATGATCTCAGGGTCCTGAGAACGAGACCCATGTCAGGCTCCATGCTCAGCAGGGAGTCTGTGTGAGATTCTCTCCCTCTCTTTCCCCCCGTGTCCCTCCGCCCCCCCATGCACACACCCCTTCTCTCTCTCAAATAAATAAATGAATAAAATCTTTAAAAAAATGAAGGGTGTAATTCTGTGGATTTTTTTTTCTATATTCACAAGGTTGTGGAATCATCACCACTATCTAATTCCAGAACATTTTCATTACCTCAAAAAACCTTATAGTGTATTTTTATATGGGATGAATGCTGATATTGATGGTTCGATTCCATTCCATTTCATTCCATCCTATTTCACTGCATTAAAAAAAAAATCTTACAGAGTGCCTGGGTGGCTCAGTCGTTAAGTGTCTGCCTTCGGCTCAGGTCATGATCCCAGGGTCCTGAGATCGAGTCCCGCATCGGGCTCCCTGCTCAGCGGGAAGCCTGCTTCCTCCTCTCCCACTCCCCCTGCTTGTGATCCCTCTCTCGCTATGTCTCTCTCTGTCAAATAAATAAATAGTCTTTTTTAAAAAAAAATCTTACAGTTACTCACTACATTGATTTCGTGTCCCATTACTGAGCTGCAACGGATAGTTTGGAAAACTTTGCCTTAGACTATGGTAGGTCCCCCTGTCCTGCGTGTCACAGCACCATTTTCTTTTCCTTGCATGATGCTTAGCCCTTGGTGAATATTTGCCCACCTGGTAAAACTTTATTTTTATTTTTAAAAATATTTTATTTATTTATTTGACAGAGAGATAGGGAACAGAAGCAGGGGGAGTGGGAGAGAGAGAAGCAGGCTTCCCACCGAGCAGGGAGCCTGATGCGGGGCTCGATCCCAGGACCCCGGGATCATGACCTGAGCCGAAGGCAGACGCCTAATGACTGAGCCACGCAGGCGCCCCCGGTTAAACTTTATATTCCAGGAAGTGAGGGCCTATCTCTCTTGTGTTCGACTACATCCCCAGTGCGTGCTGCAGTGGAGGGGTAGGCACTCAATAAATATCGGTGGACTGAGTACATGTTTGCTTCGAAAGGGAAGAATAAACCCATACCCTCCGTGTGGTCAATGTTCACACAAGTAAAAGGAAATGCAGTAAAACTATTATCTTGCACTTACTACCAGGGTAAACCAGCAGCTGTATAGCCTGCTCCTCCAAAATAGGGCCTTGGCCTTGAATTACACACACACAGTGTCTCAGTGCTTCATTCACTTTGTCTTATAAATTCAATTTGAGCAGCCGGGCGACTAGGACCCCCTCAAGGCGAGCTCTATCAATGGCATGAGCAGTGGGGCCCCCACAAAAAGCCTTTGCCAACGTTTTGCTTTGGGTGACTCGGCCAGCGAGGACATGTCCTCGCCCTCCCCTGTGGCCCTGCCCCTCCCCAGCCCACGCCCTCTACCTGTCTTTGCCAGTCTCCTGCTTGAAGAGCTCATCGAACTGCAGCATCTTGTGGCGCGTGGTCATGAAGGCCTTCAGCCGCGGCAGCACCTGGCTCAGGAGTTGCAGGTTGTTGTAGACCTGGCCCTTGCCGTCCCTGCGCATGTAGCTGCTGGGGCCCCAGAAGATGAACACGGTGCCCTGGCTCACGTTGAGCAGGTCGTGGCGGTTGCGGAGGATCCTCTGGATGCTGGAATGCGCGATGACCCTCAGGCTGGTGCGATTGCCCACGTCGTGCCCGTAGCCGCGCGTCGGGGCGTCATTCATGCGGATGACGCACTCGGTCTGGTCGATCTGGGGGCCTTGCCGGCTGCGCAGCAGGTGCCCGGAGCTGGTCACCAGGGCACAGTCCCTGCAGTGCATTTTTAGGGGCTAGAAAGCAGAGGGAGGAGGAGGCCATCAGCAGGTCCCCCTCACTTGGCACCAGCGGGTCATTTCGCTTCCGCAGAAGCCTGCCAGCGCCCCCTCTCCTCCCTCCCATGCCAGCATCTATCCCTTCTGCTGTGACCCATCAGCCCTTCCTTACATTCTCTCCCAAATCGGTGACAAGGAGCGGATGACAAGACCGACCTGTCAAACCCTGGGCTCTGGGCTTTACTGATACTAACTAACCAACTCCCCATATCAACCCGGCAAGGTCGCTGTCACTGCCATTTTCCAGAGAGGAGTTCTCAGGCTTGGAGATGTTAAGAAATCTGCCCAAGGGTGCATAACTAGCAAGTAATGAAGTCACGCTTTCAAACCCAGGTCTTTTTGAATCCGAAGTTACCCCCAAACGAAATAGAGACTATACCACCATTTGCTGTGACATGAGCTTGGAAGCTCTTAATTCGCCTTATTGAAAGTTCAGTGCGTATCAATATTCTTGGCTGTTGTACAAATATATTTATCCTAAATAAACATCGCCTGAGAGTCACACGGGGGAAGACATGCACGTTGTAATCCCTCAGGTGCCATAACTTTGAAATGACAACTAGGATGGTTTTAAGGAGAGAGGGAGTGAGATTGAGTTGGTCCATCTTCAAAAATGTGAAAAAAAAAAAAAAAGCCTCAAGCTCAGAGCCACCGACCTCAGCCAGTGAACACGTGCCCTGTGGAAGCCCACCAGGGACAACTCCAATGACAACGCTCATTTCAACACCTTGAACCAATGATTTGCTTTCTGAACACCTATGTTCCCACACATTAAACGTTCCCCTGCTCATGTGTAATGAGAAATATCTCTTAGTTGCTGTTTGAAGATAATGTAATTAGGGCCTGAGGCCAAGGCCTGCAAATGCTCAGGCAAATGATGATCAAGAATGGTCTGAAGCAAAATAAGTCAATCAGAGAAAGACATGTATCATATGACCTCACTGATATGAGGAATTCTTAATCTCCGGAAACAAACTGAGGGTTGCTGGAGTGGGGGGTGGGGTGGGAGGGATGGGGTGACTGGGTGATAGACACTGGGGAGGGTATGTGCTCTGGTAAGCGCTGTGAATTGTGCAAGACTGTTGAATCTCAGATCTGTACCTCTGAAACAAATAATGCAATATATGTTAAGGAAAAAAAAAAAGAAGAAGAAGGTAGCAGGAGGGGAAGAATGAAGCGGGGACATCCGAGGGGTAGATGAACCATGAGAGACAACGGACTCCGAAAAACAAACTGAGGGCTCTAGAGGGGAGGGGGATGGGGGGTTGTGTTAGCCTGGTGATGGGTATTAAAGAGGGCACGTACCGAACGGAGCACTGGGTGTTATACGCAAACAATGAATCATGGAACACTACCTCAAAAACTAATGATGTAATGTATGGTGATCAACATAACATAAAAAAAAAAAAAAAAAAGAATGGTCTGAAGGAACGTGGCATTGTTACCCGTGCCCCAGAGCCTCTGCCCTTCCTCCCTGCGAACCTGAACCCGAAACGCTGGCTCCCTGCGTGGTCTTGCAAAGTTGGAGCCAGTTTAGTGCTTCTATTTACTCCGGGAGTTTCCCGAGCCATCGCTCTGCCTTCAGAACCAGACAGGGGCAACTGAGGACAGCCACCTTCCTTCACTGCATAGTCGCCGAGGGCACCAGCTCTGGGGCTTTCACGACGGGTCCAGCCTTGTCTCCGGTACCTATTAGCTGTGGGACCTTGGCAAGCCACTGACCTGTGAGACTCTCAGGTTTCTCATTTCCAAATGAGGATAATGAATGCGCCATTCTATCTTGGTAGAATGAAAATGTACACAGTATTAGACCGGGCCATTTGAAATTGCCAGTATTTGAACAATAGCAATTGCAGGGGTTTGAACCCAGTGCTCACATAGAATCACTGGGTAATGAGACTGTTATTGGGATTACCTGTCAGAGTGGAGTGATTGCAGGCACTCACTAAGTCAGTACTGATCACTTCGGGTTGATAATTGACATGTAAGCTTATGAAATGGAGATTCTACCATTGCAAATTCTCATCATTCATTTGACACCCAGTTACTCTTAAGTGACAGACACTATAACGGGCAGTAAGAATGCAAATGGAATGCAAAAACAGAAACCCTTCAAAGTTTATACTTTAGTGAGGGACGGTGGGTCAGTCAAAACGTGCAATGAAGTGTGAGAGGATGAGGTGGGGGACTGTGTGAAAGTCTTAGTAAAGGGCGATGCTGAGAGCACAGCAAGGCGGTGGGCACAAACGAGAGAGAGGCCACTTTTGCTAATGGTGATTAGATGCTTCCATGGGCCAGGCACTGTGCTGAGCTTCTTATATAATTGCATTAGTTCTTCAGATAACCCCATAAGGAAGGTATTATATTATCACCCCTATTTTACTAATGAGGCCGAGGGGTAGAAAAATAAGGAACTTGCTCAAGGCCATACAGTCAGGAAGTGGTAGAGCTGGAATTCACACCCAGGAAATCAAACTGCAGAGCCCGCGGGATTAACCATCACGGCATCACGGTGCAGTAGAATAAATCGAACACGTGCCATGAGATGTTTTAAGTCATTGCCTCCCTTCCTTCTTTCCTCTCACAACCCCAGAAGCTCAGTGATGCTGTTTCTTAACGAGTAGTGTTGTTTTGCTTTTAGGGCATTGGGCCGGCTGGATGCAGTCAAGTGACAAAGGTCTTGTATCCAATACGCCCATTCCTTAGAGCCCCGTTAACAGCAGACCCATGAATGAGTGAAGTGAATGAGAGTAAAATGTACATAAGACCAAATCTTCCTGGGATGCCTGGGTGGCTCAGTCGGTGAAGCGTCTGCCTTTGGCTCAGGTCATGATCCCGGGGTCCTGGATCAAGCCCCGTGTCAGGCTCCCTGCTCCGTGGGGAGTTTGCTTCTCCCTCTGCCTGCCACTCCCCCTGCTTGTGTGCTTGCTCTCTCTCTCTCTGACAAATAAATAAAATCTTAAAAAAAAAAGCCCAAATCTTCCTTTTGAGGAATAGCCACATTACAGATGTGTAGAATCCCCTCAGGAAACTCCTGGAACCTGGAGTTGGAAGCCCTTCTGAGTCCCCTGAATGAACTGCTGGGGGTGAAGAGAAATTTCATGGGCCAAAGGATGGAGGAAATACATAATTTTCCTTTTTCTGATTTTACATGCACACCCCACACAGAAAGGATGAAGAGGGAAAGTTAAACGATCTGTTCAACCATGGAGCTCCTATCAAGTCTCAGACACTGAGCTTGGTGATATAGATAAAAAGATCTGGTCCTTCCTCCCAAGGGGGCACACAATCTAAGATGAGCGTGCCCCCAGATAAGGAATTACAGGACCATGGAGTAAGTGCTAGAATGCAATTAGGCACAAGGGACCAAAGGTGAGGGAACATTTGAACCTATCTGGAGGAGACGGAGAGGAGGGGGGACAGCCGGGAAAGGACTGTGTGATGGACACCAACAGATGACATGACTGTAAAAAGGAGGCGGTGGTTGATGGGGTCACAAGACACCAGAGGACAAGTGAAACCAAAGTTGGCAAGTGTTCTCTGGATTTGGAGGCGTTGGCCACAAGACTCCCAGTTGAACCGAAGGGGCAGAGCCTGAGCTTGGTTGGCCGGGAGGGAAGTGGAGGAGGGAGCTTGGCGGTGAGGGCTGATGGAGGGTCGATGGCGGGGCAGGTGGATCCGCAGGGCAGACTGGAACGCTCAGGGTGACCAACCCACCCGGTTTGTTAGGGGCTGTTTGGGCGTCAGCATGGAAACTCCCACATCCTGAGAAACCTCTACTCGTGGGGAAGCCCACTAAAAAAATGTCCTACAAGATCGACAGGGGCATCGGCAAATACCACGTTACTCAGTGAGGATTAGGGTCAGGAGACCCAGGGTCTGAATTTTGTAAGTCAGGTCCTTAACGTTCTCACCCGTAAAACAAAGAGGAGATCAAATAGATACTTGTGGCCACATGACATTCATTCGTTCATTCATTTAAAAGACACTTGCTGAGCACTCAATACCCGTGAGGTACCATGTAACTCAATACATTTGTTTAATAAGGTCACTTCGTGGGATTTCATCCCATTGGACCCTAAGGCCATTGGAACTTGCTTTTTCTCATCAGACTCACCTCGAACTATCATCTTGAATTTTCTAGTGTGACTGATAATTACAAGACATTGTGCTTATTTTTACTGGGGAAAACATTCTGAAGAAAAGTTTCCACATCTCTCTCCCCCATAATTATTCTGCTGTGATTCTCAGAACACAAGCTGGTTGACAGGTGAACCCTGTGTCACCTATAGAAATTCCTGTGCCTTCTGTCTTCCACCTCTGTGCACGTGAGGCCAGTGGAAGACCCTTCCAGGGAAGACCAAGGTTCCTGACTGTGCCATACTGGTCCTCTGGCATTACTGGGCACCACCCAAATATGCTGGGTCTGCCCAGTCCAGAAATCCCTCCCTCATGATTCCTGCCCATCTGCCTGAGCTTTGAGGTATTGATTACCTCGGGCAACAACACCCACTCTTGCGTTGTTCAGATGCACCAAACAATGAGCCAAAGATTGAAGTCTGAATTACGCCTTAAGTGTCTTTTGGTAAGTGGTGCCAATAAAATGACAATAGCTGTTCTAAACAGAATGTTACATTTCCCGCAGCTGAGACAAGCATGCACCAGAGCCTGAATCACTTCCAAAGGAGGAAATAAAGTCTGTTTTCTGCATTTGGAGGGACTGATGATGTCTTGGGAGGCAGGATGACTAGAAATTATACAAACTCCGTGACCCTGTTTCTCAGAATGCGTTACGGTCCTCCCAGAGAGCCATGCGCCTCCACATCTCAGTATGATTATAATCCTTAGTGTCTTAATGATATGGGTGGAAATATGCATGCCTTGGTGAGTTAAGATTCCTGATGCAGTGTTCACATATACTACCCTTAAGCACTCAGTTGCTGGGTTGATGAACCACT